TTCTGTGACATTAGTGGCATAGTTTCGTTGTTAGCTCTGGATATAGAAGTTTAGACAAGAAAATCACCCCTTTTATCGTGTCCCACCATTGGACTACGATAGGAACTCGATGCGGTGCTGTACGAATTTCTTGAAGATGCCACCTCGCTGCCTAAATTAAAGTAGAAATGAGATTTTCTCAAAATAAAATTTGAAGCGAGGTGAGATTGTGACCTGTTCCAAGCGTGCGCTAATGGGAAGAACACCCTTCCACACTTGATTTTGGAAACAGGCGTCGAGCGGCGGCTATAGACGCTTTCCAAGTCCAGGATAATTCGTAGTGGCTGCATCGGTCTCGGGCGAAATTGGTTGAAAAGGTTTTTCAGGCGTCCGAAGATTCTCAAGTACGTTTCCTCCGTTTTCCTCGCGGTCAGTGAGAAGAGAAGCGGGACCTCCACTTCTGCATCGCATACTCCATGGACGCAACACAGCTGGGCGAGCTACCTCGGCTGCTTCGTGTGGACGTCATCAGCAACTATAGCGTACAAGCTACTGGGGCAGGCCATCTGGAACGACACTCATTGCTTTGTTTGGGCATACATGTTCTTTATAAACAGAGAATCTGTATTACCCTACCTATACAGTTTCCTCAGTCCTCGTCGAGGTCCAGGCTCACGCTCATGAATGAACATTCTGCCATCCCTCAGTTTGGCCAAGTCTTCCGGGGTGTTACTGAGGGTGACCTCCTTGTCTTTATGTGAGTTGAATAGCCTTGAACAATCATTATATTTGTGAATGTGTTGTGACTTGCTGCTTCGAACCTCGATATAGTATGCCGTTTGATCCCGCATCCCCATCCATTCGAAACACTGATGACGTCATCTGGAACGATAAAGCATATGACGTGCCTTATTTTGTATAAGAGAAGCCGTACCATCGTATTCCTGGCTCGCTTTTGCGAGCTTCTTCATATACTTGCCTGAGTACTCTTCAAGCGTACAGCAGATCGTCTTTGATGTATCGAACTTTCTGAAAATTGTTAAGGATGTGTGAGATATATGGCCGAGCAACAATCGCTTATTGTAGAACCTCGTATTCTACCGTTCTGCTTCGTATTCTGCTGCTTCGTTTGGAGTGCACACGTGGCCGATAGCACGGATCACTCATGAACTTGTCTCCAACGGCCTTAACAAACGACATCTATCGCCAATCACGAAAATGGAATAATTTAGGTCACACCTTTATCATTTTTTGAGCGTTCATTTTTTACACGATACGCATTGGTAGACACCTTGGCTCTTCGAGCAAGTGCGAAGGTATACGATGACACTTGAATCTGGAATTCTGTACGTTAGAACTTCCCTCTTTTTTTGGTTACTTACCTCCCTTTACGCAGCGCGGCACCAGATCGTTCCCACCAGTCTTTGACATTATGGGCAGTCATTGATGGAGATAAGGTGGCGCTGCGCCAAAATGTATGCATGTAGAATAGCTTCCATCCGAAACCTCGATGAAACGCTGTACTTTCAATGGCTGCTCTTCGGGTGGAATATTTTCAATCAGGGACAATTTTAGTCGTGTCTTCTTTTCCTCAACCACATCCAGTGCCTTTTGGAAATCCTCGAAGCTTATAGCCAGTCTTCGGACACGATCCTCACCATTGTTGTGGATAGTGGCGTTCAACTGCGCACCGTCAGTCGCTAAATGGCAATCTCTAGGGAAGAAGAAAGCCAAATAATCAAGGAGAATGCCCTGAGTAAGGACGCCCTCGCCTCGTTCTCTGTATGAGTTTCCTGAACCTGCTCGTTTTATGCTAGCAAAGCGTAGAATTTTAGCATAAACCATCTAAGCCATAAGCCAGCCAGCCAAGCCCAAGGAGCGCGGTAACCAGGTTAAAATGCGATCTTCCGGTACCCCCGGTTTTGTACTTGCTAATAAAAACACACAAGCTAACCCCAGAAGAGCTGAGGACAGAAGACCCAGCCAACTTCAAGGTTAGACCTATTATAAGCAGGTGGGGGTCCTACAGATAGAAATTTCCTGGTTCCCGAACCTCATCCTTGTGCAGCTCCTCCCATTTTTCCTGCGCAGTTCGCTGATGTAGCAACCTCGTTCCAAACCTTATTGAGTCGCCGGGATTGCTTAGCAAACTCCTGCGCGCTGGATGGGCCATAAACAGTCTCATCTTGGAGATGCAACCGTGTAATGGCCCTATCCAAACTCTGCGAAAGGACGACAAACTCTCGGCTCGGTTGCTGACGGTGATTTTTATTGAACTCCGTCTGCGACAGAATCCCTCAGTTCTTTTAGCCCCCGTCTCTGCGCTGTGCTCAGATTGGAACAGCCTCGTGTGCGGCTTTGACGCAACACAGAGAACAATGCCGTGGCGAATAGGCGGAACTTCGTGTCCACAGTAACGTTGGGTTCTTGGGGAGGGAGATACGTTGCTGGAAATGGTGGAGTTGGAATTGCCGTCCTACCTGCAACCTGTCCAGTTACACCAACCGCATCGATCTTGGCTTTTCGGCGCAGACGATCTTGCAGGGACTGAAGGTTTCCCACGATTTTACGAGTGGTGATGTTTGTTAGAGACTGGCTGGAAGCGAAATTAGGACCCAAATCCAATGCAGATATAGCATCATCGGACAAACTCGTATGACCGATGACAGTGACCCGTGAGCCAAATACTAGATCACCCCCAGTATCCCTAGCCACAGGGTTATCTCCAACGAGGTTAGCGACAAACGGACCGTAAGGTTCACGACATCTTTCACTAAACCAGAGAATTTCTTCTGCAATTTTACTTTGGTAGTAGTTCGAATTGAATCAGAAATACATTATTCCCCTCCAAAGGCTTTCTGTTAAGAAACGTTCACAACATGATTCTTTGGCAACACATTTTCTAAGACAAGAATATAGGTGATCACGTTTTGTCTTGAGTGCCATTTTCAGAATTCGTTGCTCTAGAGTTCGAATTTCTTGCGAATCCTTGGAGTAGCCACAGACTTCGTGTAGTCGTTTGTTCGCAATAAATTTTGGAGCCTATATGTGCTTGGAACGCCCGCTGTAGAAGGTGATGAGATGGGAGTCGCGTTTACGAAACTTTGTATTCAGAATGACGAGATTATGCATATCTGCATATTCAAGGACTCGCTCACCATCGGCGTTCCTTGATCCGTAGCCGAATCCACCGTGACAAGCATAGCCGTCTTTAGCAGCGCCCACGTGTCCATTTAGGTCGCCAGCAACAATGATACCGTCTCCTGGTGGTACTTCAGCCGTCTTCTCATTCAACAGAGCCCAGAAGTCGTCCTTGGATTGCTCGGAGCATCCAGTTTGCGGGGCATACGCAGAGAAGAAGTGGTATAGACGTTGTTCAACAGCGACAACAATCTTCATTAAACGGTCGCCAAAACGAACAACACTGGTAATCGAGTCACGGAATCGGTGAGAAACGATTACATCTACACCAAATTATTGTTGTATTTAAGCCGACCAAGATTGTTAACGTTTATTAGGCCAACGTTTCGGCTTCCTCGCCTTCGTCAGAGCCT